GGGGGGGGGGGGGGGGGGGGGGAGGTGAGCTTGTTTTGCCCGACCAATAGGGCGTGGCGAAAGATGTGCCCGACGGACATTTCAGTCGCTAATTAATATTTCTTTTCCCAAAATTGATGGCGATTTAACGACATTTGCTAAATTACATAATTTTTTGCCCGACGAGCGTGTCGTTATAAAATTGCTAAAACTGCCCGACAAAACTGCAATATTAAATCATTTAACACCCCCAACCCCTGGAGTTATGCATCATTTAACACCCCCCCCCCCCAGGGTTACGTCCCTGAACTAACAAGGCAAGAAACGAGGCAACAAATTTCGAAATGTAGAACACTTAATTATAACTCTGAAATACACTGTCCTTGGCCAGGAAGATCGTAAATGTAAAGTTTGAGATGGAAATAATGACCTAATAATCGCCCCCTGACAAAACAGACCCCCAATACAAAACTGCTTCCTACGGTAGTGATGTAGTCATGGAGTTTTGTTATATATTCTATAGTTTGTATATATGGGTTGTCATATACAAACTATATAGGATTCACTAGCAGGATTCAAATATGCAAGGTTGATCAAACAATGTTCAATACAAGAACTTTTAAATGTGGAATACCTCAAGGTTCTAATTTGGGCCACTTCTGTTCTTATTATATATAAGCGACCAGCCAAATTGCCTAACCTCATCTTCAGCAAGAATGTTTGCCGACGACACAAATATTTCAACTACAAGAACGCATAAACGTGGACTTAGAAAATGTACACCAATGGTTACTTGCAAACAAACTTACACTTCAAAGAAAAAACTAAATACATGATTATCGGATCAAGACAACGAATTTCAAACTTAGTAACGCCTAACGGACCCTAAAATGGAACTTGGTGAGCCAGTCATTAATTAAACGGGTTTACAAATAAAAAACTTTAGGTATAATAATTGATGAACATCTTTTATGGAATCATCAAATCCAAAATACTGTCGATTCAAAAGGAATAGGAATGATGCATATATGCGGCGAATAAAACAGTTTGTTCCCAAATCAACCTTACTAAAAATATATAATGCCATTGTGTTATCACACCTGGTTTGAGATAACTGTTGTGATTATATTACTTAAAAAATAGTTTAGTCCAGAAATTACAAAACAAAGCGGCCCAAATGATCACTGGTAAAACTTATGAAGTTAGTTCTGAGGATGTTTTAAAAGGCCTTAAAAGAATTAGACTGGCAGCCTTTAATTAAACCAACGTTATAAAACCAATGAATCAATTTTTCTGCACAGAAATCAAAATACGAAATGAAAAAATTCCATCATCAATTTCCAACAAGTTCAAAATTAAAATAAATGATAGATATGATTTAAGAAGTAACAATAACACTAACTATGATCTTGAAAAACCTGAAACAAAATCCCTTTGGAATGACTTATCAATTACAGCAAAAGAAACTGAAGGCATTAACCTTAACAAATTTAAACGTATTCTTGACGGGACTTGATTCAATTTAGTAACTTTGTAAATATATATGTAGGATAAGATATATTTAGAAACAAATGTAGTGCATGCAATTAAGTTTGTTTTTGTGTATATATTTGTGTTATTATATTTATAGCTTGTAAATACGCTAGTAATATACGGCCTCTTGAAAAACAGGTGCCAAATTTTGCAGTTTATTTGTAATAAAGTCAACGTATTATAATAAACACGCATGAAGCCGCGATTTGACGACTGAAAAAACTCATTACTATACTCTATAGAATATATTGTTTCCTAACCTTCCATGCTCAAGGCCGGCGAGGGCAAAATACCTGGGGCCCGGAGTGCTCAGATGGGCCCGGAAATCTCGATGAAGTGTTCGTATTGTTTATCATCGCTTTATGTTTGTCCTAAATGAAATACGCCTACTTGCACACTATCCTCTGATCGTCGTCATCGATCGTAAAACGTACCAAATGTGAAATAAACGCTTTTTGGATCGTTTTCTCAGCAAAAACAGTTAGCTGAACATCGTTCACATTGCGTTTTTATCAGTTATGCAGCGATTTCTTGCAAGTAATTCGCTGGCAAATCTCTCGTTGATTGCATTAAAAATAGCCAGCGGGAGAGTCGAGAGAGACAGGGGGCCCGTGTTCACCAATCGTCATTTTGTCCCGGGGCCCGTGGTTGGCTCTCACCGGCCTTGTCCATGCTTGCCGCTTTCGTAAGAATTTTGTGTCAGACCAACGTCCCCTGCACACTTTCAGAATTCCACTTTCCAAAAGACTTGTCGAGAAGAATGTGCCCGTGCACATGAGATACCAAAATAACGTATGCTCATAAGCACGTTCATATGATACGTACCGAAATCTAGTGTGCTCATGAGCACTATCCTAACTATACACGAAAATCCAGTATCATCACGAGAATGCTCCTGAGTATCAGTTACTGGATTTTGGTATATATCATGTTGCTCATGAGCATACTGGATTTTGGTACATGAATGAGCGTGTTTATGAGTATATCTTATTGTGGTATCTCATGAGCACGCTTATATAGATATACAGTATGTACCAAAATCAGTTAAAATCCAGTATGCTCATGAGCACCCTCGTATATATACTGAAATAACTGAAATACAGTATCCGCCTGAGAATGCCCGTATATGAGTATGTTACTGGATTTTGATACATATATGAGCATGTTCATGAGATGCCAAAAGGAGGTATATATGCATGTACTAAAATCCAGTATCAGGACATTTTTTAAGAAATTACAACTACTGCTGGGGCTCAATGACAATGACTGAATGAGGGCCTTTTCCTCACACAGTTTATATGTACTATTTACAACATGAGCGGCCGTGTTGTATCGGATATACAAACTCAAGCCGAAGGCGAGAGTTTGTATATCCGATACAACACGGACGCGAATAAAACTAAACGTTGTCTAAGCCGAGAAAATCAAAGTTAAAGTTTATGTAAATCAACGTACACGAATCTGTATCACATATACAGACTCCTTCACGCCCATGATTTCTTTTGTGTTTTCTTCATGAATTATTAATGAGTTTTTTAAGCGTACATAAAAACCATGCTGCGCTGACTTGAATGGAATGTCGAGACTGTGAGAGGGTATAAGAAAGCAGGCAGATGCAGCTTTTTCAATTCGGATAACTTTTTACTAATGATCAAAAGGGCCCAGCTAATCTGAAAATATTGCTTCACTACTGGGGCAAGCAAAGGGTCTACTGGGGTAAATGCCCCAGTAGTTGTATAGTATTAAAAAATGCCCTGCCAGTATGCTTATGGGCACCATCCTATCTACCAAAATCCAGTATCCTTACGAGCTAGCATGTTCATGAGTATGTTACTCTATTTTGGTACATATATGAACGTCTTCATGTGCATACTGGATTTTTGTACGTATATGAGCGTGCTTATTTGAGCATACCTTCTTTCGTACCTCATCAGTACGGTCATACATGTACCAAATTCCAGTATGGCATGGGCACCCTAGTATGGACCAAAATCCAGTATCTTCATAAGAATGCCCATCAGTATGTTACTGTATTTTGGTACATATATGACCGTGATCATGAGATACCAAAATAAGGTATGCTCATAAGCACGCTCATAGATGTACCAAAATGATGTGAAGTGAACGATAAAGTAACCGTGGATATCCCGTACAAGATCACGAGAAATGTGAAGACCAAAAACGTTGAAACAAAACGCATGAAAAAAGATTACCTTATTGTGTATAATAAACGCGTTATAATAGATGATTACAAAACATTACCTTATGGATTTTTAATACAGTTAAAAAAGTTTTAAAAAACAGTTATATATTTGTTGAAATATAGTTGTATTTATTGAAACACAAAGAACAGTTGTAACTGTTTTTACAAAATCGTTTGATATCAAAGTTAATTTCCGATTTCAGTTTGTGATAATGATCCAGATTTACCCCGGTTTCTTCTTCCAACTCCGTGATTTTTTCTCAACTTCTTCATTTTTTCTAGCAAGATCCCACATCATCATTTCTTTGGCGTTCATACGGTCTGTAATATCCTGACCTTTATCTAATATGCATGCACTTCATTATATATGTGTATTTAAATAGCTAGTTAATTATATTCAATAAACCATTGCATGACTGCCACGTATGCAGTAAACATCACATTGGCGACGAGGATGGGATGAGAAAGAACGAAATATTGTTAAATATATCGCAGCAATGGACCTAGCAAGATAAGCGAAGCTAGATGATGAGTTAGAAAAGACTCTACAACAGATATTTAGAAAAACCCGGGGAAATAAACTAAGCAAAAGCGAACGAAAGAAATCGGTCTTTGAGACTGAAATTCCAATGGCCGAAGGGCAAGCAGCAGAGCAGAACAATATGAGAGTAATAGTGATGAGCAAAACTCTTAAAATAGAGCCGTTCAAGATTCCAGACAATCATTTAAAAGTTGGCAGAGCATGGGAAGAATGGATTGAAGACTTCGAAGACGAAATAACATACTTCGAGATACGAGAAATACGAGACAAAATTAGCGCTCTCAAAATATATGGCGGACAAGAACTGAAAAAGTTGGCACGCAATCTACCAGACCCACCACCTATTGAAGTAGATAACGAGTACGAGAAACTAAAAAGGAAATTAAACAATCATTTTCTACCCAAGAAAAACAAACGCTATGCAAGATATACGTTTAGCAAACAACGAATGGAGTCATACGAAAGTATCGTCGCGTACGCAGCCAGAATGCGTGAGAAAGCGAGAGATTGTGAATATGGAGACCAAGCTGACGACAGAATTCTAGAACACTTGATCCAAACGATCAAAGACAACGATCTTATTAAGAGATGCATTCAAAAACGATGGAAATTAGAACAGTTTATCGAAGAAGCCAGTCAACGCGAAGATATTGGACAACAAGTCAAAGATATGAAAGACGACCATAAAGTAGCAAGAATAGGTCAACGTGCAGAAAAACACAGACGAGATTACAAATTCACTGGTGAAAAACAAGCGAAAGCACACGGCTCGTACACCTGTTATGAATAGTAATTCTACGATAAATTTGACCTTTTCTTCGATAATATACACACAAAACAATTTATTGTACACAAAATACGAAAAACAATACACTAATAAATTACTGGCAAAAAATGTTCACGTGATACGTCACAGTGATCAAATTGTTCACGTGCGTTCCAAAGTTGCGTAATCCTTATAATAACAATGAATAATAACAATGAATCTTTATAACACTCCCCAACGTTGAGTGACTGTACAAGTGATCAACAATACTCCCCAATGTTGACAATAATCGATAAAATATGAATATATACATTACTGTAATTACGTTAAGTTTTCTTAAGTTTTTCAGATATGTTTCAGTTGTTCGGTTCTTTTAAGCTCTCAGATGACCGCCGCCATACGACGTGGACGAGTATTTAACGATACAGGCGGTTCGCTAATTGTTGCTTCCGATTTATTCTTGACCTCGCTAAGCGGTTGCTTCACTTCGATTGGAATCAGGTGACTAATCGATCTTCGGAGAAGTTGCGCTTTGTCACTCTTGCCACCTAACACTTTAACAACAGCTGCTCGAACAAGGTTATCTTCTCCATGTAAAAGTTGCTCAACCTTGGCTAGCTTCCAAAAACAGCGACTCGTTTTATCGTTCCTTAAAATAACAATGTCACCGATTGAAATATTACCCGTCTTGTTATTTCTTGCCATAACTCTAGATTGTTCACGAAGTCCCAACAAATATTCAGTTCTCCACTGCTTCGTAAATTGCTGAATTAGGTTTCGGTGGTGTCGTGCTCTTTTCGTTAACGATTGATACGTGCTAATAACTTCATAGTGTTGGCTATTCGGCATAGTGGTCATACGACGTCCATATATCAGGTGTGAAGGACACAAGGGTGACGTGCAGGTTTCGTCGTCGTCGAAAACATAAGTTAGTGGTCGCGAGTTGATCAGCCCTTCGATCTCCACCACAAGCGTACTCAGCTCTTCATACGTTAGACTTGCTCTTCCGATTACCTTCTTTAAGGGCCTCTTTATGCTTCGAACTAAACGTTCCCAGAAACCGCCCCACCAAGGGGCTTTCTCACCAATGAATTGCCACGTTATACGATTATTAGATAGGTAGCGCCAAACTTCCTCTGCTCGACTTAAATTTCGGATTTCCTTGGACGCTGATTTGTAAGTTTTGGCGTTATCGGATACCAGCAACGACGGTAGACCTCTTCGACTGGCGAACCTGCGGAAAGCTTGTAGAAATGATGAGACGCTCAGGGATGGTGTAAGTTCTAAATGTACACCCCTTGTAGAGGCGCAGGTAAATAACAGTACATAAACCTTCAAAAGGGATTCGATTGATGACTGAGCTTCCTTATCTGGTCGAACAAGTAACGGTCCTGCGAAGTCAAGTCCTACGTTAGTGAACGGTGGATCGTCTGCAACTCTACATGGTGGAAGATGGGGGGGAGGTGGAACTCCATACGGGGTACCTTCAGCCTTTCGACATACGACACATTTCTTGAGAATTCGCTTGACCACTTCTCTACCACGTAAGATCCAGAATCGTTCTCGAGTAGTCGTCAATGTGTCCCTAATACCGTTATGCTTAACTCGATGGTGCACGTCTCTAACTATTAGATCGATAATAGGATGTTTTGCAGGAAGCAGCATTGGATTTTTACTCTCTCGTGGTATATTTGCCTTGTCAATCCTTCCCTCGCATCTAAGGAGCTCTTGTTCATCGATAAACAGTCCAAACTGACGTACGCGATTCGGTATCGAACCTTGACTCTTGCTTGATAAATACTCTATTTCTGACGGGAATGAAACGTTCTGTATCGACCGAAACCAGATGTTTTCTGCAGCGTTGATCTCGGAGGCTGATAAGTCCTTCGGCTTCGTCATTTTCGTGATTTTTCGATCTCTAGTTGACTTCTTGACATTGTTGATAAACCGCAAAACGTATGCGGTCACTCGAAAAAGGCGGGTCAAGGTACAGAAATTTTCGCGATTCATACTCTTTGTAATGTCTGGTGGATTTGGGTTGGAGCCCTTTGTTACCAAAGAGTGCGTCACGGCTGGTTGTTTCTTAACTACTTCATTTAATGCGGTATCTGGTTCCTCTGACGAACATTTTGGCCATTCATCTTCGGATTTCTGAAGAAACTCAGGACCTTCCCACCACAGTTTGTTGGAGACAAGGTCGGTTGCTTTCACTCCACGAGATGGCAAATCTGCGGGATTCTCCGTACCGGGACAAAACTTCCATGAATCCTTGGAGGTCAATCGACGAATTTCTTCCACTCGATGCATTACGTACTGCTTCCACAACTTATCGTTCGCGATCCAGCATAGGACTGTCATGGAATCCGTCCAATTAATTATCTCAACTTCTTGATTGTTGCAATTGTCTTCAAATAGACACCCTTGCACTGTGGCGATTAATCTTGCTAGAATGTTTGCACCTAACAGTTCTAGGCGAGGAATCGTTTGTTCCTTTAACGGCGCCACCTTCGATTTTGAAGCTACGAGTCTTACTTCGATGTTTCCACTTTCGTATAAAGATCTCATGTAAATAACTGCGGCATATGCGATTTTGGAGGCGTCGCTAAACCCATGTAGCTGTATCTTCATCGGCTTTTCTGTAGATTTAAAATAACATCGTTGAATCCGTAAATCATTTAAGGTATTTAACTCGACTAATATTGTGTTCCACTTGGTTAGAAGTCTATGTTTGAGTTCGTCGTCCCATTCACTTCCTTCGACACACAATTCTTGAAATAATGCTTTCATCTTGATGACAAATGGTGTTAGAAATCCAACAGGATCAAAGATTTTCGAAGTAACCTTTAGCACAGAGCGTTTCGTCGCAGGCAAGGAACGAGCATATTGAACCAAACTCGAAAATTCGAACATAAACGTGTCATTCTCAGTGTCCCAAAGGACCCCAAGTACCTTGACGCATTTATCCTTTGTCACAGTGGTTTCTTGACCGATTGTTGTTTTAGTGTAGGACTCGGTTTCTTCCATTACGATTGGGGACGAGGGTTGGGGACGAGGGTACTTCGAACGACGGTACTTCGATCACGACTTGGGACGAGGGTACTTCGATCAGGGCTGGGGACGAGGGTACTATGGCTGGGGACGAGGGTTCTTCGATCGTGGCTGGGGACGAGGGTTCTTCGATCACGACTTGGGACGAGGGTACTTCGATCAGGGCTGGGGACGAGGGTACTTCGATCGGGCTGGGGACGAGGGGACTATGGCTGGGGACGAGGGTTTGTTGTCTGAATCGATATTACTCTCTGCCTGGGTTATAGTTTCAACAACAGTATTCGAATTGGAAGCCCACTTACGTAAATTGAAACCACCAGCTAGCATGATGCCTTTGGTGCCCTTGTAAATATCTAATGCTTCATCATCACTCGGAGCCCCAGAAACTAAATCATCGACATACAGGCCATTCTTTAATACTTTGACTGCATCAGGATTCTCGTCTTCATATAAATTCAAGTGATGATTAATCGTAGCTCCCAACATAGCAGGCGATGGTCTTAATCCAAAGACTAATCTGGTAAATCGAAACTCGATGATTTCTGGAATCGGTTCCTGAATGTTCTTAACCCAAAGAAAACGTAGCATGTCCCGGTCCACATGATCTATGCCCACCATTAAGAATGCCTTTTCTATATCTGCAACCAATCCAACTGCATGGGATCTGAACTTCACGAGTATGTTGAATAAATGAGGAATATTGTTAGGACCAATATATAGGCAATCGTTGAGTGAATAGTTCCGTTCTTTGGTAGTAGCAGAACCGTCGTATACTACACGTAATTTCGTAGTGGATTTATCTTCACGCACAACAGCGTGATGTGGGAGATAATGTACATTATCGTTGTCTTGGTTATTGCTTGTGCTTCCATTCACACGAGGTACTTCCTCAATGATTCCCAATTCTATTTGATCTTTGATGCTCTTATCGTATTCTTGAAGTAGTTCCGGTTGTTTCTTTAGTTTGCTGTACAACGAACGCAGTCGGTTGTAACACAAATCATAGTCGTTGTCTAGCATAGGACGCTCTTCTTTCCATGGAAGTCCCACTTTGTAACGCTCACCTGTAAATTGGATGTTTTGCAGAAATTTGTCATCTTGGTGGGAATCTTGTTTGTTATCAGTGATCCCAATAGATTCAGTGTCCCAGAATCGTTTTAGTGAATCAACAATTTCATCGTTTCGATTTGGAATGGCAGAATTCTGGCATGGATCACCAGCTAAAATGAGGTTGGACATGCTGGAATGGTTGTTGGATGAAGATTGAGTTGTGCGACCCGACAATAACCAACCTAGCTTACTGCTAATGGCTGTGGGCCCACCTTCACCTCGAACAATGTCTCCCGTTATAAAATCCCAGTAGTGGTCAGCCCCAATAAGGATATCAATAGTATCATCCTTACTCTCTTCGTTGTAGTCTGCTAGTTCCAGTCCCCTTAAGTGTGCATAACTTGTGTTAACCCTTGTTCGTACAGGAGAACAAATAGTGGGGAGATTAATGGCAGAAATTTCGACGCTATCTCGATCGGTTCTACTTTCTAAAGTAAGCTTATATACATCACAATCCTTTCGCTTGAATTTGTTGTCGCCAAACGTATTCAAATTAAGTGTTTCCCTCGATGTGGGCTTTAAATTCAACCGTCTCTCAACTGAATTAGTGATGTAGGTCCGCTGACTTCCAGTGTCAAATAGTACTCGCACTGGTACTGATTTCTCACCATTTGTCGCAACAGCCCGAGCTGTTTGTAATAAAACAGTTCCCTGAGATACTCGTGTGGCAGTCACTGTCAAATTCGAATTTACTTCCGGTTGATTATCTTCATGTTTAGTCGCTTCGTTATTTTTTGGCTTATCGATTCGAGCGCAGATAGACTGATGATGTCTACCTGAGCAATGACGGCATCTTCTCTGGTTGGTACAATCTCGGGCATGGTGACCTTTATACAAACAATTAAAACAGCGACCAGATTCTCCTA